CTGGTATCGGGGGGAGGCGAGGCCGCAGAGGGAAACCCTTCGGGAGCCAAATGCCTCCCCGGGCCGGGGGGAGCTGGTCCGAGGCCGCTGGGCCGCCGCGCGAAGGTAGGGCCGGCCCGCAGATCGCAGGCCTTGTGCTCGGGCCGGCCACGCTGGGAGGGGGGGAGGGAGCAGGCCCAGCTGGCCGCCAGGGCCCGAGAAGGCGAGGCCCAGCCCAGGTGCCAACCCCTCACCCCCAGCTAGGGTTCCAGCCGTTGCCCCCGCGCGACGAGGACGCGGCGGACGGCCGGGCCGGCGGGCGAGGGGCAGCGAGGCGGCAGGGGGACGGAGTGCAGCAGACCCGGGAGGAGCCGAAGAAGGCGATGAAGGGTCGGAACGGAGCGCGTTGGGAAAGCAGCGGCACGCCAGCGGTCGAGGGCGACGACGGGGCGACCGGCCGACGTGGGGCGGGCTAGGTGGAGACCTTCCAGGAGGCCGGGGCAGGGCCGTGGTCCGCCGACCAGCCACGCCCCAACCGGAGGGGCGCCGGCGGCGGTGGCCGTCCCCAATCCCAGCCCCAAAGGCCGCACCTTTCCCCGCGGTCACCGGCGAGGCACGCGGCAACCAGCGGGTGGGGCGCGCGCACGTCCGGGCAGCCGAACTCCCACCCCCGGGAGTAAGGCCGCCGGCGGAGCGTGGCGGCGCGGGGCGGGCGGGGGAACGCGGCCACGGCACTCGACCGGCCGGCCCGCGGCGCGGTCGGCGTCCTCCGCCCAGTCCGCCCAAACCACCCGCCCGGGAGGTTCAGGGGACGGGAGGGGAGGGGCCGGCGGGGAGGAGGGAGCAGCGGGGGAGGCGGAGGCCACGGCGGAAGGGGCCGCCGGCGGCGAGGGGGGCTCGGCCGGGGAGGCGGCCAGCGGGGCGGCGGAGGCGCCCGAGTCGCCAAAGCCCGCGCCTTCCATTCGACCTATTGGTAGCTGGTGTATCAATTTAACACTATCTGGTTCCATTGCATTAGTAAGTACCAACACCTAAATTCTTCTTGGAAAGGTCTTTTGCAATTGCAATCGTCCACCAAGTAATCCATAGTTCATGGAAGTTAGTCTGACTGCTACTCTGATTTATTTTTGTACTAACAAGGTAAAGTTGGAACACACAAAAAAAAGTTACAAGGCAAAGTACATGGAAATCTAGACAACTATGCATGAGCCAATCCAACAAGTAATGCAACACAGAGTAACTTCTGCAAAATGTTTCTCATCACAGTTTGCTACACCATCACTTGCGAAGCGGAGTAAATCCAATGAGATATCAGCATGACCACATTAGCTACAAAATATTGCATCGTTCTGCTAACTGCACATCATCCAAAATATCATCTCAATTGTTAACAACAGTAAGGGAGTGGGATAGAGAACTGAATAATGTGCATCCGATTTATCATCTCAATTTTCACAAAACAACACTGCAACAACACAATAGGTGTTGCACTGACACTTGCATTCCCTAAATAAAAATATACATACAGAGTTTTTACAGTCACAGAAGCCCTGCCCTTTTTTTTCTCAGCAAGTCCATGAGCCATGATACACGGTCCTCTTCTCTCATGTCCATATACACAGCAGCCTGGGCATAGTTGTCCTTCAGATGCAAAACGGCAAAAAGCAAATCTAGCTCGGCGAAGCCAGGCATGTACATCACAGCATTATACAACTGCGAATTTAACGGCAAGCCCACCACCTTGGGAGGACCAGTCATAAGGCCGATCATGGCGTCAATTAGCCAAGTCTCATCGTCGACGATCTCGTGACCCACCTCCTTCATCTTCTCCATGTGCCGGGTGCCGACACACCAGCCTAAATCATGGTCCTTTGCACCAAAGTACTGAACAACAGACAGAGTATAATCAGAACAACAGAGCATATATGGCTGTCCATGCTGTGGCACAATTACGCCCATAATTCATTTCTTCTTAGATACAGTAAATAATTAGTGCAAGTGTGGCGTATTTTTCTCAGTAGTCTACACTCCAAACACATGAGGCGTCATACAGACAAAACTGTACAACTAATTCGACAATTTATGAAGAATATGCGAAGATACTCATGCCGTGTGTGTATATATTTGTGGTTAAAGAAAGAGTTGTCATTAGTCAGTGCGAGAATAATGGAAGTTTGGCAAGCACATACCTTTACTTTTCTGATGTGAGCGAGCTTCATCTTGTTCTCCTCCGATTCACACCACTTCTTTAATGTAGGGCGGCCAATTATGTGTAGATATTCAAGCTTGGTCAGCTGTTGGATGTTGTCCGGCAAAGACCTGATCCCCCTGCAGTACTCGATCTCCAATTTCTTGAGAGAGGTTAGTTGTCCTAACCAATGCGGTAGTGATGTCTTGTCGAGGGACAAATATTTGAAGTACAATTCTTCGAGGGAGGTGAGGTGTTGGATAATCTCAGGTGAGGCCTTCAGATTACAGCAATAATTGATAATTAAACTACGGAGGGCAGGGAGTTTGTGAAGCAACCTCCACTGATGCATGGGTACCTTGCTGTCAACACTCACTCTAGTTATTGGAGAAGAGGAGGAAGCACCGTTGTGTGATGAGCTGTCTCCCCATGATGTCAGCACCTTATCAGAGTGTACTATGTCCAAAGACATAGCTCTAGGAAGACATGGTATTATCCTTAACCTGGGGCATTCTTCTATAGTCAAGGCCTCAAGCTTAGGGAACATCAGTTCATTTGTACCTTTCTCGGCACTGGTACATGTCGTGTTCCACTCTTTCAAGCTTTCCATACGGTAGAGACCCAGCTTTTTTAGGTTTGGTAGTTGACCGAGTGCTGGACCTGCTGGTAGCTTTTTGCACTTAGGAAAATCATTCAGATTTAACTCCAAAAGATTAGGGAGATACTGCCAAATGCCCATAAGCCAATCAGGTAAGCTGACACTCCCGTAACCACATATAGACAATTCCTGTACACTTCTTGGTGGCACTAGTTTGTCCAACACCTCCTTGTCATCCACAAACCTCCCAGCTCCTCCGGTCCATTCAAACCTTAGCTCTTTAATTTTTTGTTTCTCTATCAATTTTATACTGTGTGCCTCTTCTGCAGACTTCACATTTTCAAGTCTATCTATCGTCAGCTTACGAGGATTTGTAGGCTGAAGCAGGATGATATTACTGCTACATTTATCACTAGAAGCATGCACCACAAAGTCTGGCAACAAGGCAAAATTCATCTGAGGGAGCATGGATTCATCCAATTTAAAACAGTTCTCTACATTTAGAACCTTCAGACCAACCATTTGCTCGATACTATCTGGAAGCTTCTCTAGGTGGTCGCAGCATGAGAGGTCCAATGTATGAAGCTTCCTGAGGTTGCCAATGCTTTCTGGTAGACTAAAAAGCCCTTCACTCCGAGACAAGTCCAGATGCTCTAGATTGGAAAGCTTGCTGATAGAACAAAGCAAATTGGAAATTTGCTCTATTCGATCAGAAGACCCCATGAGGTCCAAGCACATCGATAGATTTAAATACCTTAGTTTGATTAGATTGCCGATGACCTGTGGCAGCCCTCTGACACGCTTTGTGTCCATAGTAGTAAATACATCTGATAAATTCAAGAATTGAAGTTTGGTACAACAAGCCAAGGCTTCTGCTACAGGCATATTGCTGCGTGATAAATCCAAATGCACCAACTGCTTAAGCTTTTTGAATGATTTTGGGAGTTCACGAATTGCATAGCAACCTGATAAATCAAGATGTATCAGAGCTTTCATATCACCAATTGACTCCGGCAGTGTTGAGATGTTATGAGAGCCTCTAAGGTTGAGGTAATTTAATTCGGAGAGCTCGGTGATACAATTGGGAATCACCTTGTCTTGTATTCGTGGAGCATGAAGAAACCTCAACTGCTTCAATTGACCAATACAATCAGGTAACTTTGGAATAAAGCATTCACTTATATCCAAGACACGGAGGCACTTAGCCGGTGAAAATGCACCACCATGAAGTTCTTGTTTGTCACAGTCTCGAAAATGTAGAGCCTTTATCTTTGCAGGAAATGTTACAGAATATTGCAATGATTTGGTACAATCTGTGAGCAATGCATAGCGGCATTTGGTTCCTTGGACATTAATTAGATGGGGCACGACCTCTTTTGCGAGATCATGCACTAGGTCATGCATCGTTAACACTATAACATCTTTGTCTCGCCATGTATTACTCTGCAGAAAAAAAAACACCTAATTTTGTTAGAATTTTCATTTATTTCGATTGTAGTAGTATATTTATCAATGGAAGTACTACCATATAACTGTAAAAAGTGTAAATAGTGTAGTATATCAATGGAAGTACTTCCATGTGGGTATGATATTTTCATGGCCATTAATTTCGAACAATATTTTGTCATTGTGAGGAGAGGTTCATGAAAGACATGCAGTGGTTAAAGCTGTGCCTAGGAGATCACACAAGAAAAGGGTCAAAGTTAAGTCCATAGAGTTTAATAAGTTAGTACAGTGGACTGAGTAAACAATTATGCAGAACAAGTTTTTTTCCTGAACAACCACCTAAATTCTTTTGGAGCAAAAGCGGTTGGACTTTTTTTTTTAGAAAAAGAGGATGACCCCCGGCCTCTGCATCTGGGCGATGCATACGGCCATTTTATTAATTATTCTCACAAGACCTTACAAAGTCATACAACAGCAAGACTAAAGCCACCGTCTAAGCAACAACTGTCGCTACACCTATCCAATTGATGAAGGGGCGCTGATAGCCTGGGCCTAATACCAAACAAACATCGCAGCCAAACCTAAACATCTAAGACCTGAGGTCCCAACCAGGACGCCTGCCTGGTATGGGGCACCTACGAGTCCGGCACACTTCTCAACCAGGACGCCTGCCGGGTATGAGGCCGCCACAACCACCTACCACGAGTCCATCTTCAGAGTTGTACTGTTGCATCTACCTTGCCAGGTCTCTCTGCCATCGACGCCACCACGACGCCAGACAGCGTCGTCCTCCTGCGCGAGTCCATCCTCCCACATCGAACTCTGAATCTGCACTGCGCCACGCCGTCAAGATCCGTCGCCATCAATGGATGGATGAAGCACTGCTCCACCAAAGAAACCGTCCGCTGGTCCCGCGAAGCAAGGCGCAGCACCAAGTAGAAGGCCGAAGTCGCACCGCCACCACGCCACCAGCAGCCCTGCCACCAAGACTTGTTCCCAGCCGCCGCCTTCAAGAAGGAACACGACGCCAGGATGTCGTCGAGCCCAGAACAGGGGAACAAAAGCTTTCGCCATAGCTCGAGGAGGAGGCGGAAGGGAGAGGATCCACCCCAAAGCCTCCATGAAGGGGATCGGCGCCAAAGGCGTCGACTTTGGGGAGGCCACCGCACCAGCCAGGGGTTTCCCCGGACCCTCACCCGCACGCCAGATCCGCCAGGCCAGCAATAGGGGATGCCGAAAGCAGCCGCCAAGGTGGCCTGGCTCTTTACTGGAACAATGATTCTGTGGTGATGTTGAAGTCTTTCAGTAACTCTCACATTGATGTACTTGTCCAAAATGAGTGCTTGGGATCTACTGAGTGGAGGTTTATTGGGTTCTATGGTCACCCGGTTCGCGCAAAAAGAAAACAAAGTTGGGACTTGCTCAAGTTCCTTAGAAGTGAATATGACCACCCATGGCTGAGTAGATGAGAATGAACAATTTGGAGGTGTCGAGAGGGAAGAGTGGAAGATGGAAGGCTTCCACGACACCATGGAGCTTGGTCGTTTTATAGATCTTGGATACTCTTCCCTATAGTTGGGATAACAGGCAAATGGGAAATAGGAACATCAAGGTCAGGCTGGGCCGTGGACTGGGCGACAGCCGGTTCATGGAGGTTTAAGATAATTCTTTTGTGAGACATGTCCAAACTACATAATTTGAACATTGTGTTTAGTCGTGTTGGTGAAGAAATCAGATTGGTTTGACACAGGAGGTGGACAACGACCATTCCGTTTCGAAAATGCTTGGACCAGGCATGGCAACTACACTAATACATAACTGGGGCTAGTCTACATATTGTATATCTAGTTTTCTGAATGGGGTAAGATCCAGATTGCAAACTTCGAGCAGGGAGGAATTCGGCTCGGTACAGAAACAGTTGAGTAAGCTGTGCAAACTCCTAGAAGTCCTTTGAGCCAACTCTCTTTCGTCAGGACCTACAGCAGAAGAGAAATGTGGATAATAAATAGATTCTCTTATGGCACGAGAGAAAATGGCAGCCAAACAACGATCCCATGGTCTGTGGCTGGCCGAAGGCAATCGCAATACATCCTTTTTTTCAGGCAAAGGCCAAAGAAAGAGCTAGGATTAATAAGATCAAGACCTTGAAGCTTACTAATGGGACTACTATGACTGACCTGGAGGGACTTGAGAAGGCTGCTAATGAATTCTATAATTGATTGTTCTCAGCTCAAGAAGACACAGCACCAGAAGTGATCACGGCTTTAGTCGATTGTAGAGTAGATGACACCATGAATGAGCGCCTATGTGCGCCCATAATTGACTTCGAATTCGAGTGTGCACTGTTCATGATGCATCCTAATAAATCGCCTGATCCGGACAGCTTCACGGCTGGGTTCTATATAAAGCACTGGGTCTGCTCAAGTCAGCCGTGTGCAATGCATGCAGTAAGATTTTTTTTTTAACGGAGAGATGCCGGAAGAGGTGCACAATACGGTGTTTGTTCTTATTCCAAAAATCAAAGACCCTCAAGAGTTGTCCAAGTTCAGACAGATTTCACTTTGCAATGTGTTGTATAAAATTGTGTTGAAAGTTCTTGTGTTCCGCCTTCGGCCGGTTTTGGAGGAAATAATCTCTGAAGAACGTATGCCTTCATGCCAAGTAGGTTAATTGCAGATAATGTTCTGACAACGTATGAGTGGCCGTACTTGAGGAAGATGATGGAAAAACTTGGTTTTGCGGGAGTATGGATTCAAAGAATTATGACTTGCGTGCAAACAATTTCCTTCTCTGTGCGCGTTAATGGTAAGTTCTCGCAAGTTTTCAAATCTACCAGGGGCATTAGACAAGGAGACCCTATATCACCATATTTGTTCCTTTTATGCACAGAAGGACTAACAAGTTTGTTCAAACGTGTGGGGCCAGGATATTTATCGAAAGGCATTCGGGTTGGTATCCATGCGCCTTGGGTGTCGCACCTTCTGTTTGCTGATGACTGCTTAGCTTTTACAAAGGCTTTTCAGTCAGGCGCAAGACGGATCTGTGAAATCTTGTACAGATAAGGCTACGGCCAGTTAGTGAATATTGCAAAATCCGCAGTTTTCTTTAGCTCAAACTGCAGTGTAGAATCGAAACAGGATTTGCCAGAGTAGAAAAGCATTTCATGTCATTAGACTTCTTCCAGATTTGCCAAAGTCAAGATGGTCTGCAGTGGCGGAGCTACACAACCAAAGCTGGGTGGGCTGGTACAAAGGAAGGCCTACTATTTTTTTTTCTCATGGCCCACTACTCTCAATAACACAATGTGTTTGCTATGGGCTGGGCGGGCCCGTAGCTCTGCCAGTGGGTACTATGATCTTGGGCCTCCACGATATCTGCCAGGTGAATGAACTCGATGATGCCCTGCATGCTGAGAGCAGTCGAAATGTCACTGATCCAGTGCCTGCCAACTAGAGCGTCACACACAGAGCGCTCCTTCAGCGTCCTCCAACTAACGGCAGAGAGCACCATGGGCATAAGGTCTCCGTCGGATTCTGCCCCCCGCCCCTCTCCAGAAACTTTAAAAGGGTAGTCATCCTATACATCGAGTCATTGATTACCTAAAATTAATCAGAATTTGAGGGGTAATTTGGCCAACGCCCGCAGTCCAGAACTAATTGGATTCAACTCTATCTCTATCCTACGACACTTTCATTTTGTAAGGGAGTTTTAGAGTGCAAATATATATTTGGAACGCATGGGCCTATACACCCATTAGCAACTACTTGCACTTGCATATTTTGAAAAACAAATTTAGTAATTGTGTGCTGTATTAGAGTATGTGCACGAGTAAAAATAAAATAAACTATTCATATTTGTTATCCACACAGACAAAATTTGGCCACGGTGAAAAACAATCTGTGCAACAAATTTATCTCTTTTGTACAATTATTCACATTTTCTTGTCAGTGAGCATAGTATCATACATTTGTTCAACATACACATTTCTGAAGTTCCCAAGAAAAATATGCAAAAAAATTGCAACATGGGCATGTGCACTATAATGCTTTTGGTCTGAGACATCATGAATATATAAACTATGTGAGTGGGAATTTATAAGGTTGAAACGAACAGTAGAATTATGGAATAACTCACCGAAGGTTGTGTCTTTGAATATTGAAGAAAGGACATCCCCAAAAGTTGTGTAACATATGTCTCGCAGAGCTGCATAGGATCAAACATATCAGATTGCTCGGTGAATCCAAGAGCAATCCATTGGTGAATTAGATCATACATCACTATATTGTGACCTTTTGGAAAGACTGCAAAATAGGAAAAGCACAACTTCAAGCAATCAGGCATATGGCTATAGCTTAACAGCAAGGATGCGAGCACTTTATGAATTCTTGATGATGGATCTTTCGGAGTAGATAGATTCCAGATGCAACTGTCCCTCACTGACTCCCATCGGTCAGACGTCATCTCCCACAACATGTATCCAAGTGCCTGAGCCGCTAAGGCCACACCTCCACACTTGGTTGCAATCTCTCTTCCTATCATCTCCAATTGTTCTTTGTCGACTCGGTCTTCAAAGGCAGCCTTTTGTTTTATTATAGTCCAGCACATATCATCCGTCAATATATCCAGCTTATATGGTGTACCTGTAGGACAACACATTTTCTTTGCGATGTCTTCATCACGTGTAGTTACTACAATCACCTTGTTTCCCAGGCCAAGCCTTAGCATAGCCTTCAATTCATCTAAGTTATATCGATCCTTCTCCCACAGGTCATCTAAAATAATGAGGATCCTCTTACCAGCAGATAGACATCTGCAGAGACGCCTCTTTATGATCTCCACATCATCTACATTGCTATCCTTGTCTGTTAACTGTGTTATTATGGAGTTTCCAATTTTCTTCAAGTCGAGTGGCTCGGTAACATATACCCATACCCGAGAGTAGTCTTGGAACTGTGAGTCATTGAATATCAATTGTGCCAAGGTTGTCTTGCCAATGCCTCCAATGCCATAAATTGGAAGGATGGCCATCCTTTCTGTGATACTCGCAGATAAAATAGACAATATTTTCTGTTTTTCCTCATTCCTTCCAATGATTAATCCTTCTTCCACATCTGATGATGTATCCCTGACAGGAACTTGCTGCACACCATGCTTAGAACTATCTTTTGGCATGGAACTGCAATGTTCATCTCTATTTGTTATATTGTCCAATTCAGATATCATCATCTCCAACATATCAGATTCTGTGCTCTTGGGACCAATTGTCGGACATGGGTGCACATCTGCCATCTGCAACAACTTTTTATGAGTAAGAACATGGAAAGACCAGTAAAATTATCAATATCATGATCTCAGAGTCTAGTAAACTTTCCAAGATGATTATGCTATATGTGTGTAAGCTAAGTTGCTGAAGATCTTTCAATCAAACTGCTCTTTGCAAAATGTGCAAACCACTAGAGGAAAAGGCTGTAATTCTGCATACAGAAATAAAAAGTGCAAGATATATACTAGAATGGCAAAATGCAACACATTGAAACAACAAACATATGAACACATGGGCTGCCTCAACGCCACCTTCACCAAGAGTCCAAGACAACTACATTAAATGAATGAAATGATGGAGGATGACGCCATGACCTGAATGTAGTGGAGCAAGGTGAGCACCACAATTCTAAAGCTAGGTTATGCTACAAAACGTCGTCATGCAACCACTGCTGTCCACCCCCTTTCGACGGCACTCCGGAGCCACTCCTCTCTTCTACCAGCTCAGTTCTCCTCCACCACTCCTTTCCTACCTATCCCCCTACCGCCCTCTCTGCCAGCCACAGCTGCTGCCTCTTGTGGGCGCCGCTGTTAGTTTTCACAAATGGATCGGCAATGCTCTAAGGCAACTAAATTGGACTTGCCAAAGATCACAAGAAAACACAACGCACGCACATCATTGGTTGGTAGTTATTCCTCTCGCTATCATTGGGGAAGAGAAGGAGGAAGGAAGAGGCCAAGCTATCGATGATGAGGTGGTGGCGCAGTAGGTCAAATCGGGCCGTTTACTGAGGATCAAGCTTGGTGTGTGGTGGAACCACTTATCAATAAATATCTTGATACTCATTTAAAAAATTCTGAGGACCATGTTTATCTTGGTACTCATACTAAAATGGCCGTATGCATCCTTAGTTGGTACAGTGGCCGGGAAGTGAAAATCTCTCCCATTTTTTAAGATCGGTAGACATCCATCAGCCACCGCGATCCTTGCCCCACGTCGCTCTCCCGAGGGCGACTTGGAGGCGACCTAGGGTTCCCTCGCTCCGCCACCTTCCCCTTCCCCTCCTCCTCGCCGCTGCCGGAGGCGGTCGCTGGGCCCCCTGCGCGGCTGCCTGTGAGGGCGGCGGCGAGGCCTCTGCCGCTCCCTTTCGGTGGTGAGGGCCCGGATCTGAAGCGGCGGCCTCGCTGGTGCGAGCAGCGCTCCTCCGGCGGCGGGGAGTGCTCGTCGGTAAGGTTGGCCGGGTCCCCTCGGTTACGCGGGCAGCGAGGCCTCGGTGGGCGCTGGTCGTGGCGCGGGGAGGCCCCGGGCTCCCCTTGTCAGATCTGAGGCGTTCTGGTCCGCTCGTGATGCATGACCTCCGGCCGGCCTGGATCTCCGGTGTGCACGCGCCTGCTGATGCTGTGGCTGGTTCGGAGGTGGCGGCAGGGTGCTTGGCCGGGGGAAACCCTTGGCCGCCGATGGCGGTCACGGCGTCGATGGTGTCCCGGACGCCATTCCCTCCTTGGTGGCGGCGCCGAGGCTCAACCTCCCCTGCCTCCCCCTTCCCCTGCGCCCGGGTGAAAACCCTAGCCCCGGTGGCTAAGCGGCGGTGGCGCCACAGCGTCGTCACCTTCTTGAAGGCGCCAACTTGGGCATGGAGATGCTGGGCGTGCATGGCGAGCTTGTCTGGTTCCTGGTGGCGGCCCGTCTGATCTACCGCGTCGCAGCTCCGGGCAGTTAGTCCCGTGGCTGCGGTGCTCCTCTTCTGGCCGTGTCTCCGATGGGGACCTCGCCCTTCCTCACCTGGTACATGCCGTGGTGGAGCGGTACTTCATCTCACTCATTGATAGCGGCGGAGATCGGCGGCATGGCGCTGTGGAGGCTCGGCGTCCGATGCACGCAGATGGACTCGCGCAGGAGGAGGTAGCTGTCTGGCGTCATGGTGACGTCGATGGCAGAGTGGCCAGACAAGGTAGAAGACTCAATATAATCTGAAGACGGACATGTGGAAGATGGCTGCGACGACACAAGAGTGCGTCTGACCGGATTGTGCTCCAGACCCGGTATGTAGCTCGGCTGGGGCTTCCGGCTTTTGATGTTAGGTTTAGGTGAGTGTTTTTGGTAGTGGCCCAGCTAGCATCCCTTCATCATATGGATAGGAGTAGCGGCATATATTGCCAAGATGGTGGATTCAGGTATATTGTTAGTAACTTTGTAAGGTCCTCGAGAGTAATTAATAACGTGGCCGTATGCATCTCCCAGATGCAGAGGCCGGGGGTCATCCTCCTTTTTTTAAAAAAAAGGTCAAATCGGGCCCGTACAACGCTCTACGTCGAGGATCTGGGGGAAAGGGAAAACTGGTGGGCCATGCCTGTGTGTTGATGATGTGGGTCCCTGTCGACGCGAGAGAAGAATGGTGGCACCAGCAACGAGAAGGTGGCCAGCGGTGGTCATCACAGTTTTGATGGATTGTCATCGCTCATTGTCATATTTGGCATCAACTCAGGTAAGTGCATTGGCCTCTTGTTCAAATTTGTGATTCCACGCTGCCCAATAAATCCTACAAAGCCCCAACCTAGTTTTCATCGGGCCTCATGGCCCGAAGTGGGCAAGCATATAATGGCCCGAAGTGGGCCTGCCAACCCCGAGCACGACAGCGCTCTCCATCAGGTACTGCTCCTCTCTCCCTCACTTCCACCTCGAACAACAGTGCAGTAATCTATTCTTCTGGTTTCGACCAAGTTACAGTCATTTTTCGTCCCTGTCACTTTAACCAAAGTTGTAGGAAATTTTATGTAGATATCCTAGATGTATTTATTTGCTACAATTGGTTAAGAGGTATACAAATGATGGAAAGCATATTATGTGTATGTGTTGCTGTGATGTGCCCAGAATTTTCTAAAATTTGTATACAATATTAAGCATATTATGTTTAGTAAAGTGGCAAAGTTTCATAAGTTTGGAGAAACAGATTGTGGGCTTCAGCACATATTCAATTTTCAGCCAAATTTTGGCCCGAAAACAAATGTGCTCAGAATTTCATGATATTTTTACAAACCATCAAGCATGTTATTTGTACTAATATGGGAAAGTTTCATCGAGTTTGGACAAACAGATTGTGAGATTCTTCGAATTTTTTAGTTTCAGCCAAAATTTTGACCCCAAAACAAAAGTGCCCAGAATTTTCTGAAACTTATACACAACATCAAGCATATTGTTTCTAGTAATCTGGAAAATTTTCATAAATTTTGGAGAAATAGATTGTGAGATTCATTGAATTTTCAATTTCAGCCAAATTTTGGCCAAAATTTTAACCCAGAAAAAAATTGCCCAGAATTTTGTGATTTTTGTACAGAAAATCAAGAATATTATGTGTAGTAATCTAAGAAAGTTTCATGAAGTTTGGTGAAACAGATTTTGAGATTCATCGAATTTTCAGTTTCAGCCAAATTTTGTGGCGACGTGCTAGAATCGGTCACCGGCGAAGCTACAACCATGGTTGCTGCATATGCTAGAATCGTCTACCGGCCAAGTTGCGACCGTGGTGGCTGCATGCTGGAATTGCCGATGTTGAAAGCAGTGACGGCGGGCTGACGTTATGACGGGGGCTGCGTCAATGCTACGATCAGCTTGGCTGATGCTGGAACCGGTTGCGGTGGCTGTGCCCGTGGATTCTAGGAGCTGCAACCACCTTACGGCGGAGCTGCGACCAGGGATGTCAGGGAAGGAGCTGCAACCAGCTTTCGGCGGAGCTGCGACAAAGGATTATGGGAGCTGCAACCACCGCGGCTCTGGTGACCTTGCGCAAGGACGGCGCGCGTGGGGAAGACAACCACCATGGCCAACCTAGTAGCGTCCCTGGGTCTCGGCAATCATGATGGGGTTCGAACTTCGCGGCCCGTGACGAGGCGGCCGTCGGCGCCAGAGGTCGACTCCCCTGGTCAACGTCTCCTTCCTACGAAGGTATGCATATACTGTTGCCTCTACTCTGCTAACGCTATCCTTACATGGAAACCTGCATAAATCATGCTTATTAAGACTAAATTGTGAGTGTTGCTTTACTGGACAGAAGAAGAGATTATTCTTCAGAGAATTATGGCGTTTCTTTTGGTTTGTAACCATCATCAATAACACATGGGCAACTATTCAGTAATCTGTGTACCTTACACTACTTCCTCCTGTTTGCGCTGATATGTGGATTCCTCAAATTTTGAAGCAGCCTGAACATTACCATCAGATTCTAATTCACTTTGGCATGTCTCAAATTCTGTTATATTTTTTCCTAGCTGATTTCTGAGTCAAGTTGTGATAAATTAGTTAGCTTAGCTATGTACTGAAGTTAGTTTAGTTTGGTGTGTACCCGAGGTTCTGCTTAAAATAGTTACCATTGTATTAGACATATATTTGACATCTTATTTAGCAAGATATTCCTCGAGAAAACACACAGTTTCCATCTTGTCAACTACAACTCCGACGTACATTTTTTGCCTCCAAAATCGCCATGTCTCACTATACATTTTTTCTTGAATTTGCCCTCTCACTGTAAAACTTTTCTTAAATTTTCCTGGAAGATGGCAAATATACTTATTGAATCATTGCAAATTTTAGTTCTCGTATCATGAAAATTCATTGTTTTCTTCCATGGCAACTTTTGATTTTGGATCATGGCGCATTTTTACTGTTTTCTACCATGACATTTTTTTTGGTAGACAATGGAAACAAATCTTATACTTTTTGCCATGTAAACATCAAAAATTTAGTTAATTGATCATGGCAAATTTAGTTAACACATCATAACAAACTTGCTTCCTGGAAGATGGCAAATATAGTTATCGTATCATGGCAAATTTAGTTCTCGGATCACGGCAAATTAATTGCTTTCTTGCCAGGGCAACTTTTGATTTTTTGAAATTGTCGTTGTAATTCTTTAAATTGTCAAAAACAACACAAAATGGCAAATATTGCCATGGCAAGTTTTGCTAATTATTTTACCTTTATTAACATGTCTAATTTAACTAAATCCCCATGGAAATTTTTTAACTTTTAT